ATATAGACTAAAGAATACAAAGAATGAGAAGAGGGGATATGAAAAAGAAGTCTTTCCATTCAGGCACATAACCCTCTTATTCTCTGTCACTCCCCTACCCTCTCTGTCTCGCTTTCTTTCCCAAGCTTGGCGTCTTAATGCTAGTGCTCTGGTGCACTTATGTTAAGGTTGAATGAAGTATTGAGTGAGCAAGCCTGGAGGACACTGTCTATTACAGCTGCCGATCAGCAGCACACTCCAATATGAGCACACATTAACAAACCTTTGCATCCAAGTCAAAGGAATGAACAGATAAAGAAAAGGCACTCTATTCATTCTTACGCCTTTATTCAACCTGGCCTTTAATCCAAAGCCTATTGATTTAACTGCCATTTTCATTTTCTTAAACACTTTGCCTCTCTATTGTCTTCTATATTAGTTAGCTCAGCTCTTTTTTCCTCCACCTGCTGTCCACCTCTGTTGCTCCCCTCTTATCATTTCCCTGGATGAGAGCAGTTTATCTGGTGCCCTCTGAACTCTAAAATTAATCGTGCACCTGTGTAATGTCAAAGCGAGCAGTAACACAGAAATAAAGAACGAAACTAGGGGCTGTGGAGTAGAAAATATAATATTGGGAATAATTACATCACATCTACTATCAAATAAAAACACATGACATGTGCAGCAAGATTACAGTCCTTTATGGCGTAGTGTGTTACCAATGGTATTCTTGGTGACTGCAGTCCCAAAATGCCTTTAGATCACTAACAAGCTTCTGCTGTGTAGTTTTCTCATGATCATTCTCACCCCATGAGGCAAGATTGGGCTCACACAGATTGGCTTGCCAGTCTGTGTGGCTGGGTCTGGGATCAATTACTTATTTATATATATACAAATTTATAGACAAATCAGTGTATAACTTTCATGTAATGTGCATTTGTCCTGGATTTTTTTGTCTCTCTTCATTAAAACAAAACTTCCATAAAAATTAGAGACTGTTCATTTCTTTGTAAGTGAGCAAACTTATAAATTCAGCAGGGGAGCAAATAATTATTTCCTCCATTGTATAGCAAACGTAATGCAGTAAGAAGATGATGGAGCATGTAAAGCAAAACATCCTTTAAAAATGCTTATTTTTAGTTCATGAGTGGTGTAGTGGGGTGAAGAATAGTCGGAGAGAAAACGAGTGGTTTGTAGAGCAGCACCACTCTAACAGCGGATGTATCCTAATAGTTCCTGAGAGAGAGGACAGAAGCAGGGGAAAATAAACAGGAAAAAGAGGGCACTGTTTGTTTCTTCCACCAAACAAAAAGTCGGTCAAAAGATTACTTCACAAATTTAGCATTGAACCTCGATAAAATTATCAAACTTAAATTTTGAGGGTCTTTTATCAACAGTGGGCACTTCCACTAATCATGGGTCTCCCTTTCATATCGAGGGACTCACCTTTGGCAGCTGGCTCCACAGTGACCTTTTCGCTGAAGTTACCTCGGCCTGCAGTGGTGACGGCTGCAGCCCAGATCAGGTACTGCTGGCGGTGGTTGAGGTGTGTGATTCGATAAAACAGCAGCTCTGGATTAGCTTCATACTCACTTGGGAGCTAGAGAAAAATGAAATGAGAAGAGACATCGTTGATTTGGAAGAACAAACTTGATAATGTCCTAAAATCATTTCACTTGATTAAAACTGTTCGACTACCTCTTACTGCAATTATCTAATCAGCCAATGGCACAAATTAATGCATTTAGATATGTAGACATGGTCAAGAAGACCTCCTGAAATTCAAAAGTGAGCATCAGAATGGGGACTCTGAAAGATGGTCCCATCGTGTACCCATCTTCTGATGGCTGCTTCCAGCAGGATAGAGTGCCATGTCACAAAGCTCAGATAATCTCAAACTGGTTTCACTGTACTCGACTGGCCTCCACAGTCACCAGATCTCAATCCAATAGAGCACTTATGGGAAGCGATAGAACAGGAGATTCACATCATAGATGTGCAGCTGACAAATCTGCAGCAACTGTGTGATCATGTCAATACGCACCAAAATCTCTGAGGAATGTTTCCAGCACCTTGTTGACTCTATGAAGAATTAAAGTCGTTTGAAGTCCAAAAAAGTGCCCAATGAGACAAAATGGGCAATTACAATAAAAAGAGTCTGGATTGGTTTGGAAACATGTAGCACTTTAACGGTACCTTTTCAAAATTAAAAAAATAATGTTTTATAGCATTTCTCCGAAAATTTTAAGTATATTCAAGGTAGCATAAGGTAAAATTTTGGGGATTCCAAATACAAGATTGTTTGGAGAGGCTGGAGTGATGTGATGAACTGAGTGAACATCATTTTAACGTGAACCAATTATTTTCTTCCTCTTTTTGTATCAGTAAAACAGAGACTAAGATGGGCTAAAAGTTAGAGAGGTTCTGAGGCTTATCATAATGTGGTAAGGCAAAACGGTATGAAAGGATGACGCTGGAGGGAGGGAGGGAGGGAGGGAGGGAGGGAAGGAGGGAAGGAAGGCAAGCGATGCTTGAGGAGAGAGAGGCGAGAGGGTTGGATTGGGGGAGGGAATCCCACTCCCTCGCCTTCTCCGTTCTCCTCGGGGAGGGCAAACAGAGATATGAGAGAGGAAGACAATAGGGGACAGACAAATGAGTCAGTCAGAGATATCATGAACAGTCATACACTAATGAGGCCTATCTACTGCAGGCATCAGCAGTGATGGAGAGGAGAGGAGAGGAGAGGAAAGTAACACAAACAGACAGAGGAAGAGGAATGGTTACCCACAAGCAGTATGAATACACACCAATACATATGCATGAATGTACTGAAACACAGGCACACACACACACACACATAGAGCCGCATACATGACCTGGAGGTGGATGTGTAATTGCAGTGTGTTTAACCCAGCCATGTGTCTCTTGTCTAGACATATACGCATCACTGTCCCCTTAACACACACACACACACACACACACACACACACACACACACACACA